GGGGGCTGGGGGAGTGGGAGGGGCCAGCAGGGGTTCCCCCCATAGCCCCCTCCCCCCTCCTCCAGCCACCCCGACCCCTTACTTACCATCACTAGAGCTCTGGTGCTGAAACACTGCCTGGCAGGCAGATTGCTTCAGCACCAGGGTGAGGGCCAACCACAGAGACACTCTGGTGGCCAGAGCATCTTTGTGGAGGATCCACCCTCCAGTTGTCTCAGGACATGGTCCCTGCCCCACTTTTTTTAACTCCAATTTTTTTAGACTCATGGATATCCAGGGGTCTAAATTTGCCCCTGTGCTGGAAACTTGCAGTGCAGGGAATGTTTTTTTGTTCCTGCACATGCCTCTTGACCCATCTCAAAAGGGTTTGAGATGAGGCAAAAAGCATATGTCCGCTCATCTGGACATGCCCAGTTTTTCATTTTGCTGTTTTGAAGCACTGTTCTGTTTTGTTTCATCAAAATTATTTCACTGTTTCGTTGGTGTTTTGACGTGTTTCAACATTTTGCCCATAGGCTATAATGGGGAATCACAAAAATGCCTGTTGCTTAGTCATTTCTTTCCTGATTTGAATGAAAACAGCAGAAATGCTACCATTTCATGGCCCCTGCTAAGGCCATGAAGCCTAACAAGTTTCATGGAGATAGGTTCAGGGGTTTCTGGGAAACTTCACTTTGCCACAGAGTAGGGTCCATAGAGATGGCCTTGATACCCCTAGGGCCCTGTGACCATGCCAGCTCCACCAAGTGTGTGCCTTCTCTTCTTACCTGCCACCACATCGTGTTGGAAAAGATAATGGGGAGGCTGCCCTCAAGCTTCAGCTCAGTCACAGTCCTAATGGATGCCACTAAACCCTGTAGGTTCTTGGACCCCTTGCTGGAACCCGCTCTAAGTTGGTGCCCCAAAGGGACATTTTAAGCCTTATACCATGCCCCATGCCTCGCAGATAGTATATCGTTATCATCCTTGTAATGAGGTCTTGGTCTCCATCTACCTTCTATTGTCACTGGGCTCTCTATGCCCCTGTCACTGCACCCTCACTGGCATTGGGGCCTCTACATGACATGGTATTATGCCCCAATTAGGTCTCCTCCACCCCTACAGCCTCATCCTTGTCCACCACTTTACTTAACAACAGGTAAGAAGATAGTATATCGTTATCATCCTTGTAATGAGGTCTTGGTCTCCATCTACCTTCTATTGTCACTGGGCTCTCTATGCCCCTGTCACTGCACCCTCACTGGCATTGGGGCCTCTACATGACATGGTATTATGCCCCAATTAGGTCTCCTCCACCCCTACAGCCTCATCCTTGTCCACCACTTTACTTAACAACAGGTAAGAAAGCAGTACAGTAGCACTAGCATCTCAGGCAGCCAAACTGCCACAGAGCCTTTCTTTCCTTTCTTGCAGGAGCTTCTTCTCCAGCAGCTGCCAAAGAACTCTCCTTGCCAGCCCCAGCCCTGGGGCTTAGATGTGCCCAGGGCCCTGCCTCTTTCTGGTCAGCTGACCAGGGACAAGTGCTAGGGGTGTAGGTTGTAGATGTGTTGGTCTAAGGACATGGAAGACAAGGTTCTTTGGGTCAATCTTTAGTAGACCTTTTATACCTTTTATACCTTTTAGTAGATTAACAGAATTGTTGGAGAAATATATCTTAGTAAGCTTTCAGGTTGAAAACCCTTTGTCAGGCTGAGGAAGCACCTGCAGTTGGTGTGTGTGCTCTTCCTGGATAAAAGGAATAGTAAAGAAGCCAGAGGCTAGCATGTAATGCAGGCAAGAAAGCCAATCAGTGAAAATGGAAATGGAGGTGTCAGGAGGTGAGGGACAGGCTGGGGTGGGGGGAAGCTCCCAGGAGTGGGAGCTTTACCTTCAGGAACACCAGCTGCTCCACCAAACCAGGATCCAAGGAGTTGCAGTGGAGTGTCACTACATCACCAGCAATGCTGAACACCCTCTCGCTTGGAACACTGGTCACTGGACAGGACAGGTGTTCCCAGGCAACCATGGCCACATCTGGCTGTAGCTTTCCCAGTAGGCCAAGGGGTTGCACAGCAGCAGCTCCA